TATTAAATATAAATATTGTTTATATATAAAACGGCGCCATAACATATCGCCGGCGTTGAGTCGTCTCTTCACAAGCGTTGGGGCATCCGAAATCCCCATGAGAGGCTGGATACAAAACTGGACCTGACGAACGCCATTTTTCAGCAGAAAGGCAGATGGGAAATAATTAGCATAGCTGATGTTCATAATGATTTCCATTATACGAGAGTCTGTGTTAGAAAACCACTATCTCACAAACTCTCCTTTTAAGTTTGTGAGATAGTGAGATTCGCTAGATTCGCTAATCTTGCGAATCCACATTTGAATTCATTTATGTTTTTGAACTAACGTTATTCATCAATAAAATCATGAGAACACAATCGGGCTAAACTTTAAGTGCAACTGTACGAAAATGGTAGGTCCTAGAAAAAAACTTTAAGGGCCCTATCTTGCACCCGGCGCAAATGACTTTACACACAAACGCATGTCTCATTCCTATTTTGCACGCGCGCAAAGCGGGATTTTCCCCTCCACAGACGCACGTCGGTAAACTAAGGAATGAACTTGCGCTCCCTGGGCGGTTCGGCGCAAACATTCCCTGGTGCTATTTTACACTTCCAGAAGACAATTGCGCTACTGACCAGAAAAAACCTGGTCTAAAGTCAGTGGCGCGTTGTTCATAATGCTATTTTAAGCGCGCATGCTTGGCCATAATGTAGCGGGTACACAACGCGCATACACTTATTCTCTCATCAACACAGATGCAGTAGTTTTTATTTTTACAAATCATACATTATAACAAGGAAAAATATTAACACATGATGGAAATCATTGTGGTTTACATGAAGATGAAAAAACCTTATTACCCATTTTTTAAGGCTAATTGGCTTTATGCCCAGCTGCACTACTTCCTGAACTTCAGCCAGCTCCTTGTTTCCTGTCTGCCATTATTGGCCAAATTGATTAATTCAGGTGTGTCTGATTATTGTTGCCATGACTACTGAGGTCAGGTACATCTGAATTAATCAATTTGGCAGACAGGAAACAAGGAGCTGGCTGAAGTTCAGGAAGTAGTGCAGCTGGGCATAAACCCCATTTTAGTACTGAAGGATCAGACCTGTTTGCCCAATAGTGGCAAGAAACATACGTATATAATGTTTAACCGACGCTGATGTGCGAGGGGTTCTCCCATCCCCACAACGTCACCTCTCTGTCTTTCACTGTCCTGACGAGAGCGTCGGTCTCATCGGTTGTGAACGCTCCTGGCGCGCGCCTGGTAAACCCGCCGTCATAATAACAATCCGTCATGCAACATGTGCACCTGATCTTAAAGGGTATGTTGGATGGCGATCTGATTGGTTTATTTCACGTTACGCCCAAACCACACCTATGAATAATGAAGCTACTTCAGACCAGTGGCGCAAAAAGTGGGTATGCGCTATATGCGGCGCATAGGGGCGCAGCACAATGGGGGGCGCCAAAGCGATAGTAAAAAAAAAAAAAAAAAAAAAATTATATAGGCTATATTGTATTTCTATATGTAACTGCCGTTGTGCGTTTCTAAATCATTTCTGCATTCCTTCATTGTTATATAAAATTTTAGAGGACTAACAGCCAGGCTAGAGTAGGCGCCCTCATGGAGAATATCGCGAGCGGGCGGGGGCGCCGTGAGCGCTGAGCGAGCAGGTACGAGTAGTCGAGTTGTCGTCGAAAAAGATGGATTAAACAAAATGTTGTGGGGCTAAAAATGGAAAAAGAAAGAGAGAAAAGGAGATGGCATGTCAATTGATACGACAGCAGCTAAATAACTGCATGCATTGCTGAAAGCCAACAGGTAGGATTTAAAATGTGACATCCCAACACATGTAGGCTATATCTCGGTGGCCATCGGGACTACCGGGAGATTCCCGCTGGGCCGACGTGCTTTTCAGCCAATACATTTCATCCTTTTTTAATTTATTTGTCTTAACGGCCCACAAAACTCATACATCGGCGGCCCATTTGTTTGTTGTTTGTTTTGTTTTTTGCTTAATTGGCAGCGCTGTGCTGGTGTAATGCATTGGTCAAAAAAAGTCAGCTTTAGTTTTTTTTTCTGACACACTGGCCCATGAAACACGTCATTATGCGCAAGTATCTTTCAAGTATAGAAATTAGTGCAAAACTAATTATGAAAGTTTCCTTTATTTTTCTGTGCATTTTGTTTTACAATAGCCTTTATGGCTACTATCATGGGATTAATATTATAACTATTTATTATGTAGTAGTGTAATGTAGACAGACACTAACTAAAAGAGGTTCAAATTTTTCTCTGTTTAATTTGCACCCTGAATATGGGTTGGAGCTTTCAATTTTGAACTCTCAAAGTGCACCAGACTGCTGAATTTAACATTACAGAACACAAAATTTTCTGCCCCCGAACCCCCCTAGAGAAACTGAGGTCCACAGTTTTACCTAAAATCCTGTGAGAAACACTGGTATTGCTGTTCCAATGGAGCTTATAGTTTTCTTAGGGGGGTTCATCAAGGTGGAGTAGCTATAGTAGTTTAATTGTGTTAATAAACAAGAATTTTGCACTTATTTTCTTCTGTTAGCTCACTTATTACACAGCACACTTACATTACATTTATTTTTCCTTTTTTTTTTGGGGGGGGGGGGGGGGCGCTAAAATTGTTGCTGCATACCCCTCTGAAACTGGGTAGTTGCGCCCCTGCTTCAGACCAACCCCTTTTAGATTTTTAGACAAGAGGCATTTATCCCACCGGGAAAATAGCAACAGCGCCGGGACCTGCCCACGAAGTTACTTGCACCATGCGCTTTGACACTTGCGTTTCAGATCGTTAAAATAGGGCCCTAAGTGTTCATTTGTAGCAGAGATGTGTATGTTGCTTGTGTAAAAAAAAAAAAAAATAATCTAACCTAATTACTTTTTAAAGAGCCCCTATCATAGCATTTGAAATGTTCCTATTTTTGTTTTAGGAGTTCCCAAAAACAGTTTAACATGCATGCAAGGATAAAAAACACTTTATTTGTCTTATAATATGCATTTATTTTTAACTGATTTGCTCACGACTCCCAAATGATTCGTACAACGACTCATTTTTCCAAACCACTCCTTTGCGTGACGCTAATCGGCGGTGATTGGTCAGATGACAGACCCAGTCAGTTATTGTTTGTTAGAATAACGCATAAACATATTGATAAAGCACTGCAGTACAACAAGACGCTCTATTCTTTATGACAACTCCAATAACAGCGACAAACATTTCACATATTTAAAAAAAAATTGACATTGGAGACCTAGAAGCTGCGCTGAGCGTAACTTACACACACACACACACACACACACAGATACACGCGCACACACATACTGCCCCGCGCCAGACGCTATAAAACCGTTCAAAACCCATAAAAGCAACAATTATTAATAATACTTACAGGTTGTGATTCGAAGGAGGAAGCTGATCCATATACACTGGGTAAGTAAGTTACTGAGCCCTCCTTCAGGAACAACCGCTTGCGAATCCACATTTGAATTCATTTATGTTTTTGAACTAACGTTATTCGTCAATAAAATGATGAGAACACAATCGGGACTCTAACCACTGATTCTTCACATGCTCGTCCCTGGTAAATGAAAACAAAGTGGCTGAACTATCTTTGCATTATAGAACACAGCGTCTTCTCGACATGATGCTATGATGAAGTATTTGAATGTGTAGACTTCAAGTTTACACTTCCATCTGCGCGCGCAGTAACTGGCCGCGGCCAATATGTATCTACGTCACTACGAACCAGCTAATGACTCGTTTCAAAAACAATTCATTTCATAGACTCAGAGTCGACTCTCACTTTTGAAAGACAATAACTTTATATACTGTGCACTTTCAGATATAAATCTTTGCAGGATGTTTTCATTCCCTTAGAGCTATATTCCACACCATATGAACAGTCATTTTCAAAAATCCATGATAGGGGCTCTTTAATTAATTGAGCCAAAACCAAAATGCGTTAGGTTGTGCCCCGCTCTTGCCTACATGGGCACATGAGATTTTTAAAACTATTTTTAAACAGTAAGCAAATTACCACAACTCACAAATTGTAAAAATTAAGATTTTTTTTCCTGATACATGTAGCTCTGGTGGAAATGCAAAATTATTGTAATGTACATGAGGTAACGTTACCGATAATGTTATCTGTATTTGTATATTTACAGTTTCATGAGGGAATTTTTGGTCATGGAGGATGTTGCCATAAAAAGAGGAATTAAATCTAGTAAATGTAAAATGAAGGAACCGAGAAAGTAACACACATCAGCTTACGTGTCATAGAGGAACTGAGATCCTTGCTTACTTTTATGTTTAAAAAAATATATTTTTTAGACATTTTTTAAAAGATACCATGTTTACTGTTTGTCAATGAATAGATATTTTGAATATATGATACATTTGGTTGTATAGCAGTGTCATTAGTAACTTGACAATAACAATAAAATAATTGTATGTAGGAAAATAGAGTCTTGTGCTTTTATTGTCAACTATTATGGTTAACAATCAGCTGCTTTGCTGAAATGTTGAACTGGGAGTTTTCAGGTAGTTTAAAGCTGAAGCAAGACATGGAAAGTTGTGCAATTTTGGTGGTATTTAGTTTCCAGAGGAAATGTCTCTGAATAGCTCAACAACATTTATATAATATGCTCCAGCCCTCCCGTGACCCTACAGAGGATCAGAGTTTTGGAGAATGGATGGAATATAATATAATATAATATAATATAATATAATATAATATAATAAAATAAAATATGGCTGTATTTGAAAATGGTGAACAAGAAACATTTATTGTGAGGCAGGTTGGCAAAGGAAGTCTTGCTGGTTAAGTTAATTAAAAAGGGGACACCAGCATCATACACAGGTAAAAACATCAGCAGATAGCTTCCTAGTGTAAGTCACAATTGTAGAAATGAGAAAAATTGATTTTGGATTATAAATTTTTTTTTAAACTGCATCATCTTATCTCCTGGATCTACAGTGTCAGTGTGTCACTATATAATGTACAACAGTCCATTTGGTGTGGTGACCTACTTCCCTCTTAGGCCATGTGAAAGACCAAAGCACAACATCTGAAAAGAGAAGTATCATCATTAGTGACATTTATTTACAACACTTAGAGCAAGTTTGCTCAGAGGTTAGGATAACACACCAGCGGAGATAAAACATTTCTTGACATATTGTGTATGGCAGCCCTGATTGCTCAATGAAAGGTAAATAAACTTATTTTCTTGTTTTAAAGATGTTGAACAAAGAGTGACAACACAGGTTTCACTGACCAAGAAGAGGCTGAAATTTTGGGATTTTGTTGCATTAGTAGTTGTGTTTGGAAGTTTAATAATATGTAATATTGTGCAGTAGTCCATGAGTCTCTGGATTTTAATGTGTAAATCTTGCTCATTTGGACACGGAAATTCTTTTAGAGAATCAAATGGATAAATCAATCTGCAAACCATCAAGTGGAAAACCTACCATTCCACAGAAACCTAAACTTCCACCAAAACCAAACCTTAATACTTTACACCAGTCAAGCCTCTTTGGTTCATCAAGCAAAGTGGCTCAGGCTTTGCTTAACTTTGAACCAGAAAAAGGCACGCAAACAGCAATAAACGTCAACAGTAAAGAAAGAAGATACTCTGAAGATATGAGCCAAAATAGACAGGCTTTGGTGGTTGAAGCCAGATGTCCAACCAGGATAGAAAACCAGGATATATCTTCATTCTCAACACCTAATAAAAGTGGATGTAGAGAATGGGATAAAAAAAAGATCCTGGAAAAAAATTGTCAGCTGGCAGTAGATGATGTGGATGTGCATCGATCAGGTAAAGATTTTTTAAAATATGTATCTGTGTGTGCTTTATATTGTATGCGATGTAGGTTTAGAGTAATTCAATTAAAACAGTTGAATAAGGTATATAAGTAGGCTATTATATGAAACCTACACTTGACACTTTCCTTGAAGATTTCCTTTCCTCTATTATGCAAACCTTTACAGTATTTGTTATTGACATAAATGCAGGTAACTTGCAAGGAGAATAAACATGTTTTGTGAAGTCCATTACTGGCTGTTGATAGCATGAAACCATCGAGATTCAAGAGGCATTCAATGTTAAATGTTCAAATTTTGCCTACGTTTATATGAATTACCGTTTAACACTTGCTGTGAATATCATGCTTATAATGAATTATAGCTCCATTTATACTTATTCATATCTAATATTAATAAGTAATATTAGTATTATTATATATTATAAATATACATTAAGACTCATTAAAGGAGTTGTTCACTTTTAAAAAAAACTTGTGCTGATAATTTACTCACCCCCATGTCATCCAAGATGTCCACATCTTTCTTTCTTCAGTCGAAAAGAAATTAAGGTTTTTGATGAAAACATTCCAGGATTTTCTCCATATAATGGACTTCAATGGGAACCAAATGGTTCAAGGTCCAAATGAGAGTTTCAGTGCCGCTTCAAAGGGCTTTAAAGGGGTCATGAACTGGCTTTTTAAATGTTATTATATTGTTGTCTGAGGTCAACTTATAATGTTCGCTTGGTTTTTGCATTCAAAAACATCAAAATGCACAAGTAATAGGCTATTTTGTACCCTGGTTGTGAGCCTACCTAAAAAACAGTTGGTTTTTATGGGCGTGTCGCACTGAAGACTTGGAAGTAAACACCCACTGCTGCGAGTGGAGAACAGTTTTGCATATTATAATGAGTTTAACTCACCCGTCGGTGTACGTGGGGGAAAACGTCCTATGTTGTCAAATGGCAACCGGATTCGCCCATACATGTTCAACCCAGAGTCCGTGTGTTGCACAATATTCCTGTCAGATCCAATATAGACGGCACAGCACCGTTCTTTACTCTTAATCGGTCTGCAAATCCAGTCTTGTTGACAAAACAATCCTCAGTGAAATGAAGCGAACAGACGACGATGTTTTACCTCATCAGCTGCTGGAACGTCATTAAAAATAAATTTTATCCATGCAGTCCTATTGGAATCCACAGGAAGCTTATGCAGCGACTGTCTTGCACAACCAGGCACTGCACAATATTCTGTATTGCTCGGTAGCGATCCAGTTTGAGGTAAGCATGTACATGTATGATACTTATGTGTGTAATGCGCGAATCGGTGGGTTATCAATGGGCTAATCGATGGGCTAAACCTGCCGTGGTGAAGCAGGCGTTGATCATCTTCTGTGGGGGTGGTGTTTTATCCTCTTTGTCGTCATAGTTCCCCACTTTTAAAAACGAGTCGTTTTTAGAGGCTGTGTCAATAAAAGCTTTTATTGGACTAACAAGGACGTTTTCAGTTCTGAAACTTATAATATGATGACCTCTTAGATGTCAAAAGCTCAAGGAAAATTTGATTTCTCAGTTCATCACCCCTTTAAATGACACCAGATGATGAATAAGGGTCTTATCTAGGACCCTTCGAGTCATGACTATTACGACCCTTGGCTCAAGGGAAGCAACAAAAACAAGGGACACGCGCAAACCAAATTATAGGCTCAAATGTTTGTTTAACTACAAATGATAAGACAAAAACAAAATAATGAAATGACAACAGTTAAAGAAAATAAAAGTGTTTCTGTAGTTATCAGCAAAATCAGTGTGTAGAGCACGATGCATGGTTGAAAGTGTAATACAATGTTGAGGTTTGAAATGTAAATGCAAAAAGCAACAAAATACAACGCAAGCAAAACACCAAAGCAAAGTCCAAAACCAAAAACCCTCCTCCCTTGGCTCAGATGGTGATTAAGCGTCTAAGGTCACAGGTGTTTCCAGTGTTGAGGCAATTAGGCAATTTGATGCAATTAGTGGGCTCAGGAACCAACGGACACTGAAAAGAATGGGCTCTATGCACGGCGGTATTTCCGGTGAAGGATTAAGGATGCTCGATGACTTCCGATCGTATAGAGTCCAATGCAATACAGAGAATTTATATTGAATTTTATAGTCCATGGTTATAATAAAGAAACGTTAGTCACAAAAACAGATAAAACAGACACCCCTCATTGTGTTTATGCTTCTTTTTAAAATTATATTAAATAAACATAACTATATATAAAATTACATCTAAACGTATGTACGTTTCGTTTCAAAGACGGGAGGACAGTAAATTTTGAAGACTCTGCCATAATCCCGTTTTCCTCGGTTCTCCTCCGCTTTAATCTACACAACCGGAAATGGACGAGCATCCTTGCGTCAAATGCGGAACTTATGCGTGCATATAGCCCATTGAGAAAGGTTAATAGATTATGATCCGTGTATAGGTGCACAGGCGTTAAGGTAAACCGCAAAATGCTGCGAGGCCCAAATCAGGGCTAACGGTTCCTTTCGACAACAGAATAGTTACGTTGGTATGTGTTAAACTTTCTCGAAAAGAAACTAACTGGATCGTCTACTCCATCCACATCCGACTGCTGAAGAACAGCTCCAGCCCCAACATTACTGGCATCAACGTGCAACGTAAAGTTTATCAAAGCATGGAGCCATAAGCACGGGTGCTTAACGCAGCAGGGATTTTACGTTCTCAAAAGCCAATTCGCAACTGTAAGACCAAAAAAACTTTGTCTTACCGTTTAACAAGTCTGTAAGTGGTGCTACCACAGTAGAGAAATTGTGACAAAAAGATTGATAATATCCTACCAACCCTAAAAACCTCATAAGCTCTTTCTTGGTCGTTGGGGAAGGAAAATTCTGGATGGCTTGCACTTTAGCCTGTATCAGACACACTTCTCCATTCCCCACTACCTTCCCAAGATACGTCACGGTTGCTTTCGCAAACTCGCATTTGGCCAAATTCACGGTAAGTCGAGCATCAGACAAACGTCTCAACACCGAACGCAACCGTGTTAAATGAGACTCCCAACTGTCACTAAAAACGACTAAATCGTCCAAATAGGCGGCACAACCCTCAAGACCACAGATTACACGGTTCATGAGGCGTTGAAAAGTCGCCGGAGCATTTCGTAGACCAAAACTCATGACCCGGTAAGAATGTAACCCTGACGGGGTGACAAAAGACGAAATTTCTTGTGCTCTCTTGGTTAAAGGCACTTGCCAATAGCCCTTCAGCAAGTCAAACTTGCTGACGAACTTGGCTGAACCAACCTGGTCCACACAATCCTCGACTCGGGGCAAAGGAAAATAGTCCGGCTTTGTTGAGGCGTTAACTTTACGGAAATCCGTACAAAATCTTACAGTACCGTCTGACTTTCCAACTAAAATACACGGAGAAGCCCAATCAGAAAAAGAAGGTCCCTTACGAAACAAAAATATATTGCAATGTATTGGAATATACCATGTAATATATTAGGCAATATATTCCCATACTGTATATAGGATTTAATATTTATATTGTCCAATATATTGCAATATATGCATAGTCCATATATTTATATATATTGATACATATATTGCAATCAAGACCAAAATAGTCACTATATTTTTTACATATAGTTTGTCTTTTTAAAGTCTGTCTTTTTCAATGCTTTAATATACTGCAATATATGTGCTATACATACATACATATATAAAATTGTATGTATATATATATATATATATATGTGTGTGTGTGTGTGTTCAATATATTGTGGAATATATTTTAAATATATGTTTAATTATATGGAATATAAATATAAATAAAATATATGTATAGATATGTGTTCCATATATTGTGGAATATATTTTAAATATATGTATAATTATATAGAAATACATAAAATATATTTATATTTATATGTTCCATATGTTGTGGAATATATTTTAAATATATTTAAAATTGTATGGAAATATATAAATAAAATATATGTATAGATATGAGTTCTATATATTGTGGAATATATTTTAAATATATGTAAAATTATATGGAAATATATAAATCAAATATTGCAGACAATACATTGCAGACAATCTCAGAGATTTGTATATATATATATATATATATGTGTGTGTGTGTATATATGTATGTATGTATATGTGTGTATGACCGTCGCCTCTCACCTATGCCCATCTACGTCTGCACTGGGCGTGGACCGCAGCCTGCCGTCCAAGCCCTGCAGATTCACGGCCCACCAGGCGGATAAGGCGTACGCGGCAGCGGGAGAGGCAGTTTCAGCTCTCCACGCCATGGCTATCCTCCAGGTATTCCAGGCGAAACTGCTAAAGTCTCTGGATGGCGTCGCCTCTGTCGACGCTGACGCCGTCCGGGACCTTCGCTCGGCGACGGACCTTGCGCTGTTGGCCACTAAACGCTCAGCGCAAGCTGTCGGTCGCTCTATGGGTTTTCTGGTCGTCCTCCACAGACACCTGTGGCTGACTCTGTCAGATGTTAAAGATTCTGACCGGAAAACCCTGCTTAATGCTCCCATCACCCAGGCTGGTCTCTTTGGGGACGCGGTGGAGGCTGTCACGGAGCGTTTCTCGGAGACCCAGAAACGTGCCAAAGCCATGAGTCACGTGATCCCGCGTCGAGCACCCCCGTCTCAGCAGCGTTCGCGCTCGTCTTCAGCTACTCGCCGCCCTCAGAGTTCAGGGAGTCAGCCCACAGTGCATCGCACCGGGCCGGATGCTCGTGCTTCCCGGGGAAGACAGTGGCCAGGTCCTGGGAGGAAGAGCCAAGGCCAGAGAAGGAGCCCGCGCTGAGGGAAGGACAGCGCGCCCCCCTCCGCGCCAAAGCCGTCTTCCTGACGGATTGGGCAAGATGAAGAGAGAGCGCGAAGGGGGGCTTGCTGTCCTTCCCTCAGCGCGGGAGCCTCCAAGCGCCGTGTTCATCGAATGTGTGTAAATGCTGTTTGTTCAATAAAAGCATG